TATGCATGCATGCCCACGTGTGCTTAAGTGTTGCACGGCTGTTGCAGCAACAGCAGCGGCCGTCGCCAGCTAAGCACACGCGTCTCAGCCTTTGTTGCTGAACGGGTGCTGCAGTTCGTTGTTCTGTATCTTTTCGTCTGTTGGTGTTCTATCTGCTCGTCGTTCTCATGCACCCCTCAGTCTACACCGTCAAGACTCCCAGAGCTGCAGCGGCTGTTCTTTACTGAAAACCCTGCAGCAACAAACAAACAACAACAGTGTATCCTATACACCCCAGCACTAGCCAGGGCGGAGCCCATATAGAAGCAGCAATGTGAAGACCCACATACACCAGGTAGAACCAGAAGCAACACACACGCGCAATAACTTTCAGCGGGTCCCCGATTAAATGAGAAAGTGGTGGCAGCAGGCACTCGTTCAGTCTAAACAGTAATTGTTCAGTGGATATAAATACAATAGCGAGCAGGAGAAACGCCACCACACGAATACACAAATATATATATATATATATATATATATATATATAACATTGCAACCTGGCTAAGCAGAGGCAAGCTAGTCTATATACAATATACAACACCGCGAGTCAAAGAAGTAGACGCAAACGAATACTGATGCTATATACACCGCAACGCAGGAGGAGGTCAGGCAGAAGGACAAAGCAACAGCCAAAGCATCACACCAGCAAGAAAACAGGGTAACGACGATGATTCAGATGAAGAGAATTACACAACAACCAAAAGAGGAAGCAGAAAACCAAGCGAAACAGCCAACAAAAAGACAGGCGCGAAAAAGCGACGCAAAAACAAACAGGCAGAGAACTTTAAAAGTGGCGGAGAAAAAGAGCTGCAGGAGGAGATACAGATACAGAGAGAAACTTGTTACACACACAAGTGGAGAGAGAGAGACAAAACCAAACAAAAAACATATATAAAAACAACTTCAGCCTACCAAGCAAAGCTGGGTCTATAGGGCGCCCTTGCGGTTTCTTTTTGCGGGATCTTCCTTTCCCCTGGATCGCCTCCCAGTTTGTTGCTGCTGCACCACAAAAGGAAAACAAACATCATATGAATACATGCATGCGTGCATGCATGCAGAGATGCATACAAGCATATTTGTTTCATCCTTCCATTGTTTTCACTTGTCCTTTACTCTATGCGAAAAAACAAATGCTATGTAATGAGTCAGTGAAGTTCTGTCCGCTGTTTAGCTTATGTTTTTTGAATTAAATAAAAATATGCAGGAGGTTTAGAGGGGGAAAAGACAGACCAACACACCCTGGGGGCCCCCTTTCTCGTCCTGGGGCCTCTTATTGTATTTGTCATTCGTCATGACGAAGTTCTCCGCAAACAGCCGCAAGTTCTTGTGGCTAGGGAAGCTTTCCAGCAGAAACTCCTCCACCTCTAGCGGGTTCTGAGGTGTACACACATACAGCCCAACAAACGCGCGTATATTCTCGCTGCATGTGCTATCATTACTTGTATACTGCTGCATGCACTACTCTTCTGTGTATACTGATGCAGATACACTACTTCACCCGCGTACGTACACCGAAAAGACGTGAATAAAAAAACACGAATGGGGAGAGGAAGGGAACAGAACGAAACGGAACAAGCAAGGTGACGACCAAAGCCCCAAACCCAGTAGTTCAATTAGCATGCAATTCAACTTCAACCCAGAGCAGGGAACAACAAGCAAAGCAGAAAGAAAAAAAAAACGAGTTGCCACTGGCGTTGCAGCTGAAGAAGATAAAAAAAACAAGAAAGTAGAAAAGAACAAAAAGTTTCAGTTCTACTTGCAGCCGCTTTCTTACGTCCATCGTAGCGAGGTACTCAAGGATAGGAACGTCCAGAGGCAATTCGCATTCCGCCAGGAGAGAATTCCACTCTGTTA